ATGCTTTTATAAAATTGGCAGTCTCATAATTGGTCGTTTAATAAAGTTATGTTTTAGATTATTCTTGTCTTGTGTTTATTTTTATTACTCACATTCACACCAGCCATTTCTCAATATCATACTTGGACATTTTGAATCTTGTGTATATCTTCGGGGGCGGAGCTACGTCACAAGACGTTCCACATTGCTATGACGTGCACCACTGTACATGCATTTCTATGGGCTCTGCGCGCGCTGCTGTGGAACGCAGGTCGAGTTGGTGAAAATTCAAGAAAACAACACAAACTCAACTTTGAAGTAATCCCGAACAACCAAATTTATATATGTTACACACGTAAGGCTAATCTTGTTACACTGTTCAGGGGAGTCTCAACAACCATCCCAAAGTACCGTTTTCTGCGAGTTTTGGGCCTTTGTTTTAACCACTGCGGATTGACAGGCCGTGAAAATGCCCGGATGTCCGCCTCCGAGGATAGAAGTGTCATACAAACATTACCTGATTCTACTGACAAACATTACCTGATTCTATTGCCTTATACTAACCTCCCTCCATAATGATTGCAATAATATGATTCTCTTTCCAAAAATGTATGGAGTGACACAATTTTTTTGGTTATTGTACAAATAAATAAAGACGTGTGTATTAAAATTTACAGAAATGTGGACATGTTCCAAGTTCCACACATCTGACATCATTTCATGAACATGCCTGGACAGATTTTGTTCACAGTTGGTACAAACTAAACTCAACATTTGAACTTGTCATCAATGGTTGTGTCACATCTTCAAACTTGGCATGCATGTTTTGTTTCCTGATTTGATTCAAAATATACAATTGGTGGTCATGCTTGTTTTATTTTTTGTTGTGTCCTTGGCTATTTCTGGAACAGATTTTGCATTCCTAAATATTAATTCAGTCTAATAAAAAGGTATCTTTTCAGAAATAGCCTATATTTTTGCCATAGAGGGCGTACTTTTATTGAGTTGCCAAAGAGGCATAATTTTATTGACTTGCCATAGAGGGCATAATTTTATTGAGTTGCCAAAGAGGCATAATTCTATTGACTTGCCAAAGAGGGCATAATTTTATTGAGTAGCCATAGAGGGCATACTTTTATTGAGTTGCCATAGAGAGCATAATTTTATTGAGTTGCCAAAGAGGCATAATTTTATTGACTTGCCAAAGAAGGCATAATTTTATTGACTTGCCAAAGAGGCATAATTTTATTGGGTTGCCAAAGAGGCATAATTTTATTGAGTTGCCATAGAGGGCATAATTTTATTGAGTTGCCATAGAGGGCATAATTTTATTGAGTAGCCATAGAGGGCATAATTTTATTGAGTTGCCAAAGAGGCATAATTTTATTGAGTTGCTATAGGGGGCATAATTTTATTGACTTGCCAAAGAGGCATAATTTTATTAACTTGCCATAGAGGGCATAATTTTATTGAGTTGCCATAGAGGGCATAATTTTATTGAGTTGCCAATAAGGCATAATTTTATTGACTTGCCAGGGAGGCATAATTTTATTGAGTTGCCATAGAGGGCATAATTTTATTGAGATGCCAAAAAGGCATAATTTTATTGACTTGCCAAAGAGGCATAATTTTATCGACTTGCCATAGAGAACATAATTTTATTGACTTGCCATAGAGGGCATAATTTTATTGACTTGCCATAGTAGCCATACTTTTATTGATTTGCCATAGTAGCCATACTTTTATTGACTTGCCATAGAGGGAATCATTTTTATGAGTTGCCAAAAAAGCATAATTTTATTGAGTTGTCAAAGAGGCATAATTTTATTGACTTGCCATAGAGGGCATACTTTTATTGAGTTGCCATAGTAGCCATACTTTTATTGAGTTGCCATAGTAGCCATGCTTTCATTGAGTTGCCATAGAGGGCATAATTTTATTGAGATGCCATAGAGGGCATACTTTTATAGAGTTGCCATAGTAGCCATGCTTTAAATGAGTTGCCATAGAGGGCATACTTTTATTGAGTAGCCATAGAGAGCATACTTTTTACCTTGCCCGTACCATCAAAGATGGAAGGGAAAGGTATATTAAGGAAAAAATTTTGTCCGGCGTTGTTGTTGTTACCTTGCCCATACCATCAAAGATGGAAGGGAAAGGTATATTAAGGGAAAAATTTTGTCCGGCGTTGTCGTCGTCGTCGTCGTCGTTGTTGTTGTCGTCGTCGTCGTCGTTAATAATTGTTATTGTGTGCATGATAACTTTACTAATACTATTCCAAACTTCATCAAGCTTGGTCACCTTGTTCATCAGTATAAAGTCTTCCCTGAGTTTGAACAACAGTAGTCCTGTATGAAAATATCATGCAAAAATTGAGAAAAACTGATAAAATATTTTGACTGTTTCTACTTGACTGATCACTGGTGATACACATCAAAGGTCACTGATCTCAGTGGAAATATGCATTGTTGTTTGTGTTCAATGAAGCAAATGATTTATCTTGTAATAATATCCTTGGTAAAGTATCTCAAAATCCTCTACTGGGTTTCAAAACCAACTCATGGAGAGATTGCACAGTCTGATACACATTTGCAAACCTACCAATAAAATCTTACAG